GCATGAGATCTTCTACTTGGTGAATTGGATCCCAAAGTTGGCAGCTAATCACCAAATCGAAACATTATATTGGACCTGTCATCAGGCCCGGATTCCCCGCAAGGATACGGAGGCCCGGGCCTCGGGGCGCAGGGGGGCGGCAGCGGTGTCCTCGTGGGGAAGTTGCCCTCTCTACATTCAGTCCTGCTTTGCACAAGCCGAGCTAAATGTAGAGTGAGGGGAGCCGATTGTTCGTTTACATGTGAAATCGGCGATGTCACCGAGATCACATGTAAAAAGTCTGCAACCTCCCCCCCCCCTGCACTTACCTCTCTCCTCTGGTTCTGTCCTGCACCGCCGAGTCTCTCACTGCAGGTAGCAGAGCGGCCGGGTTAAAAGTAACCCTGTCGCTCCGTGTACACAGTGAGAGGGGAGAGCCGTGCCGCGCTGTGCCGTGCCGCGCTCTTCCCATCTCACCTGTCACAGGAGTTCCAGCACAGCGCTGCGCTAGAACTCCTGTATTGGAGGTGACAGGGGTCAATAAAGAGAACCTGTCACCTCCAATTGCTATCACACAGGAGATTAGCCGCCCTGCCATCCTCCATTGAAGGCGGCGTATTGCGGAACCTGGCCTTGGGGCGGGACGGAGTGGAAAATCCGGCCCTGCCTGTCATTAGAAATATACCTATTGAAATGCAGCGAGCTTCTCACTTCCTGTTTTGAGCTGACAACACAATGGAGCTATTGGCTTGGTAGAGGTGATGCATGTTGATCTGCTAGAAATCCAGTGAACTCCTCACTTCCTGTTTTGAGCTAGACCTAAGAAGTTTGGCCAAGTACGCTCTTCTGCACGAGCGCCAGCCGCGCCATTGCCCTACGGGCACACACCACAGCAATGAAGTAATACAATGAAGTAGGATCACACTAATCCAGCACGTTATTCATCTCAGGTGCCCCACTCAATATGGCCGCCGCATGGGCACCTGAGATGAATAACGTGCTGTATTAGTGTGATCCTAGTTTATTTTAATACTTCATTGCTGCGGTGTATGTGCGTAGGGCAATGCCGCGGCTGGCGCTCGTGCAGAAGAGCTTTCCTTGGCCAAACTTCTTAGTTCTAGCCAGTGGCGTAACAATCGCCACAGCGACCCAGGCGGCCACTATGGGGAAGTCAAGCGGTTGGAGAACTCGATAAGTTGCAACTTTTGATAGAACACCGGATTCAAGGGGCATAGCCATAGGACACACCTGGAAGCAAGCCAGATGCAGTGGATTCTCTTTGTAAAAACAAATGGTGGCAACAGTGTCACTTCATCATCAATGACCCCAATGTAACGTGGACACTGTGATAGGGGAAGCATTTTATAGGTTGCCCAGCCAGTGGCTTAGTGCGGTGGGCATAGGTGGTGGTTGGTGGTGGTGGGGTGTGTGTATAAGCCCGGCAGTTCCTTCCTGTTATGATCTATTGCCCTCTTTGTTCCATCTCTCTGCAGTGGGGTATCTTCTGTGCTAGCTCTTGGCGCCAGTATCATCTGCCGCAAAATGCCAGGCTTGTCACCAAGACAGAGAAGCATCTGCGAGGCTCGTCCAGATGCCATGATCGCCATCGGCACCGGCGCTCGCTTGGGTACCGAAGAATGCCGCTACCAGTTCCAGCACAGCCGGTGGAACTGCACCTCCTTGGGGGAGCCGAGTCTCTTTGGACCGGAGCTAAAAGTAGGTAGGTGTGGGGTACCTGAGATCTGAAATTCATGGTAGAGCCCATCTAATATGATCAATAGGGGTGCCGGGCCTTTAAATGGGAAGATGGCAATGGTGGATGCTCATACCCCGCTCATCAGACGGTCTGGAACCTGAGGGTGTCAGGGTCTCTCTTTTTTGGCACAATTTTCCTCCAAAACCCATTGATGGGATTCTTAGATCTCAAAGCTGGTGGAAGGGATGCCATTAACTGGGAGACTTTAGTCTTGCGATGGTTGTAAACATAATTAAAAAAACGTACGATCTGCCCATCTTGGACAGGCAGATCGTACTTGCGATCATCGCAAGCTGCGCCCCCCTGAGGGGGCGGGCTTCCGATGACCACAATGCTGAACGGGCAGTGTGCGCGTGGGCACAGCGGCCCGTTCGGCATTTGTTTCCCGAGCATCATTCAAGCATCATTTTCGGCTGGTTTTCTTGTGTGCTCCTTAGACAAATGACGTGCGAGCGTACAGTAGAAACGGTCGCACGTCTTCATTCACACTGCACGATTCTCGTACGGTCGCGGGATTTCCTGCGATTCTCGTACGATGGCGGGATTTCCTGCGATTCTCGTACGAGAATCGTGCGGTGTATGGGCGCCTTTAGAAAGGAAAGCCCAGCACTGCCTTTATGCTTTCTATCAGATTGTGTTAATCTGCCCGTTAGGACGTTGCCCTCTTTGCTAGCGGACTGGAAGGGGGGTGTCTTTTAAAAAACACTGCCTGCCTGGCCCCCGAACCTGAGCTCCTCTGAACCCAAAAGCTACATGGAGCCTCCTGCCCAATCAGCTGCAGGCCAGGGCATTCCCTGTGGCGTATAAAAGGGGCGGGGATGCCTGTGCTGATGTCATTGACCAAATATAGCTTTGTAGCCATGTAAGGACAAAGACGTTACTGCATCCCCCTCCCACCAGCTATGTACAGCACCCTGACAGCCCCTCCCACTTGCTATGTACAGCTCCCTGACAGCCCCTCCCACCAGCTATGTATAGCCCCCTGACAGCCCCTCCCACTTGCTATGTACAGCTCCCTGACAGCCCCTCCCACCAGCTATGTATAGCCCCCTGACAGCCCCTCCCACTTGCTATGTACAGCTCCCTGACAGCCCCTCCCACCAGCTATGTATAGCCCCCTGACAGCCCCTCCCACTTGCTATGTACAGCTCCCTGACAGCCCCTCCCACCAGCTATGTATAGCCCCCTGACAGCCCCTCCCACTTGCTATGTACAGCTCCCTGACAGCCCCTCCCACCAGCTATGTATAGCCCCCTGACAGCCCCTCCCACTTGCTATGTACAGCTCCCTGACAGCCCCTCCCACCAGCTATGTATAGCCCCCTGACAGCCCCTCCCACTTGCTATGTACAGCTCCCTGACAGCCCCTCCCACCAGCTATGTATAGCCCCCTGACAGCCCCTCCCACTTGCTATGTACAGCTCCCTGACAGCCCCTCCCACCAGCTATGTATAGCCCCCTGACAGCCCCTCCCACTTGCTATGTACAGCTCCCTGACAGCCCCTCCCACCAGCTATGTATAGCCCCCTGACAGCCCCTCCCACTTGCTATGTACAGCTCCCTGACAGCCCCTCCCACCAGCTATGTATAGCCCCCTGACAGCCCCTCCCACTTGCTATGTACAGCTCCCTGACAGCCCCTCCCACCAGCTATGTATAGCCCCCTGACAGCCCCTCCCACTTGCTATGTACAGCTCCCTGACAGCCCCTCCCACCAGCTATGTATAGCCCCCTGACAGCCCCTCCCACTTGCTATGTACAGCTCCCTGACAGCCCCTCCCACCAGCTATGTATAGCCCCCTGACAGCCCCTCCCACTTGCTATGTACAGCTCCCTGACAGCCCCTCCCACCAGCTATGTATAGCCCCCTGACAGCCCCTCCCACTTGCTATGTACAGCTCCCTGACAGCCCCTCCCACCAGCTATGTATAGCCCCCTGACAGCCCCTCCCACTTGCTATGTACAGCTCCCTGACAGCCCCTCCCACCAGCTATGTATAGCCCCCTGACAGCCCCTCCCACTTGCTATGTACAGCTCCCTGACAGCCCCTCCCACCAGCTATGTATAGCCCCCTGACAGCCCCTCCCACTTGCTATGTACAGCTCCCTGACAGCCCCTCCCACCAGCTATGTATAGCCCCCTGACAGCCCCTCCCACTTGCTATGTACAGCTCCCTGACAGCCCCTCCCACCAGCTATGTATAGCCCCCTGACAGCCCCTCCCACTTGCTATGTACAGCTCCCTGACAGCCCCTCCCACCAGCTATGTATAGCCCCCTGACAGCCCCTCCCACTTGCTATGTACAGCTCCCTGACAGCCCCTCCCACCAGCTATGTATAGCCCCCTGACAGCCCCTCCCACTTGCTATGTACAGCTCCCTGACAGCCCCTCCCACCAGCTATGTATAGCCCCCTGACAGCCCCTCCCACTTGCTATGTACAGCTCCCTGACAGCCCCTCCCACCAGCTATGTATAGCCCCCTGACAGCCCCTCCCACTTGCTATGTACAGCTCCCTGACAGCCCCTCCCACCAGCTATGTATAGCCCCCTGACAGCCCCTCCCACTTGCTATGTACAGCTCCCTGACAGCCCCTCCCACCAGCTATGTATAGCCCCCTGACAGCCCCTCCCACTTGCTATGTACAGCTCCCTGACAGCCCCTCCCACCAGCTATGTATAGCCCCCTGACAGCCCCTCCCACTTGCTATGTACAGCTCCCTGACAGCCCCTCCCACCAGCTATGTATAGCCCCCTGACAGCCCCTCCCACTTGCTATGTACAGCTCCCTGACAGCCCCTCCCACCAGCTATGTATAGCCCCCTGACAGCCCCTCCCACTTGCTATGTACAGCTCCCTGACAGCCCCTCCCACCAGCTATGTATAGCCCCCTGACAGCCCCTCCCACTTGCTATGTACAGCTCCCTGACAGCCCCTCCCACCAGCTATGTATAGCCCCCTGACAGCCCCTCCCACTTGCTATGTACAGCTCCCTGACAGCCCCTCCCACCAGCTATGTATAGCCCCCTGACAGCCCCTCCCACTTGCTATGTACAGCTCCCTGACAGCCCCTCCCACCAGCTATGTATAGCCCCCTGACAGCCCCTCCCACTTGCTATGTACAGCTCCCTGACAGCCCCTCCCACCAGCTATGTATAGCCCCCTGACAGCCCCTCCCACTTGCTATGTACAGCTCCCTGACAGCCCCTCCCACCAGCTATGTATAGCCCCCTGACAGCCCCTCCCACTTGCTATGTACAGCACCCTGACAGCCCCTCCCACTTGCTATGTACAGCAAGTACAGGGTGACAGTAGGTAATAAAAACGTAAAGGTTTCATTTAAGCATGTCATTAGCGTGTTGGGGAGGGGGGAGGGGAGGAACCAGAGAGTACAGAATATGATCACATTTAGCTTCATCTTTATAATGTTGGTTGTAACATAATTATCATAATTTTTTTGTTTTTACCGACCAGGCAGTCGAGAAACCGCCTTCTATTACGCCATCCTGTCAGCTGGTACCGCCCACGCCATCACCAACGCCTGTAGCCACGGCAACCTGAGTTACTGCGGCTGTGATCGGGACAAGCACGGCCACCACGACCCCGACAAGGGATGGCGATGGGGCGGGTGCTCCGCCGACGTGAAGCACGGCATACGCCTGTCTCGCGAGTTCATGGATGCGCGGGAGGTGAAGCGCAACGCCCGCACCCTGATGAACCTGCACAACAACCTGGTGGGGAGAAAGGTAGAGTCCTGCGTCGCACAGATCTTACCCCGCGCACAACAGGTTTGAGGGCAAAGGCGGATTTTGCCATCAAGTTCTCCAAGATGGAACCCTTCAGAGCAGGAAAGAGTTTGATTCTCCATCACAGGGGGAGCCGAACGTCGGCCCTCCAGCTGCTGAGGAACTACAAGTCCCATGAGGCATTGCAACACTCTGACAGCCACAGTCATGACCCCCCAGAGGCAGGTGCATCATAGGATTTGTAGTTTCACCCCCAGCTGGAGGGGGCGAAGTTTGGCTACCCCTGCTCTGAGGTTGTCCTACTCTCTGTGGCCCCATTGGTGGAGTTATACCCTCACTTCCTTTTCTGGTGACCACATAGTCACCATGACAGGAAGTGAGGAGAAATCTCCAACGGGGCAGTAGAGTAGGGGAAAGCTAGAACCCAAGTCAGAGGAAGGTGGGCAAAAAGTGAGAGAGCACCCTTGATGTTTAATAGGTCAAAGTGATTTTTATTTACCAAAGTATGAGTTCACCAACGCGTTTC